AGTGAATGTTTTCAGATACTTGGGAGTTGACGTGTCGGCGGATGGATTTATGAAGGATGAGGCTAATCATAGAATTGATGAGGGAAAAAAGGTGAGTGGTGCGTTGAGGTATATGTGGAGTCAAAAAACGTTATCTATGGAGGCAAAGAAGGGAATGTATGAAAGTATAGTAGTACCAACACTCTTATATGGATGTGAAGCTTGGGTGGTAAATGCAGCAGCGAGGAGACGGTTGGAGGCAGTGGAGATGTCCTGTCTAAGGGCAATGTGTGGTGTAAATATTATGCAGAAAATTCGGAGTGTGGAAATTAGGAGAAGGTGTGGAGTTAATAAAAGCATTAGTCAGAGGGCAGAAGAGGGGTTGTTGAGGTGGTTTGGTCATTTAGAGAGAATGGATCAAAGTAGAAATGACATGGAAAGCATATAAATCTATAGGGGAAGGAAAGAGGGGTAGGGGTCGTCCTCGAAGGGTTGGAAAGAGGGGGTAAAGGAGGTTTTGTGGGCGAGGGGCTTGGACTTCCAGCAAGCGTGCATGAGCGTGTTAGATAGGAGTGAATGGAGACGAATGATACTTGGGACCTGACAATCTGTTGGAGTGTGAGCAGGGTAATATTTAGTGAAGGGATTCAGGGAAACCGGTTATTTTCATATAGTCGGACTTGAGTCCTGGAAATGGGAAGTACAATGCCTGCACTTTAAAGGAGGGGTTTGGGATATTGGCAGTTTGGAGGGATATGTTGTGTATCTCTATAAGTATATGCTTCTAAACTGTTATATTCTGGGCACCTCTGCAAAAGCAGTGATAATGTGTGAGTGTGGTGAAAGTGTTGAATGATGATGAAAGTATTTTCTTTTTGGGTATTTTCTTTCTTTTTTTGGGTCACCCTGCCTCGGTGGGAGACGACCGACTTGTTGAAAAAATTATATATATATATTATATATATATATATATATATATATATATATATATATATATATATATATATATATATATATATATATATATTATATATATATATTATATATATATATATATATATATATAATATTATATATATATATATATATATATATATATATATATAATATATATATATATATATATATATATATATATAATATATATATATATATATATATATATATATATATATATATATATATATATATATATATATATATATATATTATATATATATATATATTATACGTATACATATTTACACACCCATCTGAGGTTTCTTCTATTTTCTTAATAGTTCTTGTTTTTATTTATTTCCTCTTACCTCCTTGGGGAAATGGAAAAGAATTCTTCCTCCATACGCCATATGTGTCATAAGAGGCAAGTAAAATGCCGGGAGCCTGTATAAATTATTAAATTTAAAAAGAGAAACTCACTTTTCCTTTTAGGTTACCCTGCCTCGGTAGGATATGGGCAGTTTGTTAAAAAAATCGTTACAAGATTGGAATGATAGTACATTCCCTACATTAAAGAAAAATCTGCATGATAATTATGCTCACCATTTAGGGCAGACTTAACCCTTTCAGGGTCCAGAGGCAAAATTTCAATGGGTACCCCAGTGTTCAAGAAATTTTTGGAAAAAAAAAAAAAAAAATCTTACAGAATTAAAGATAAGAATTTTGTGAAGGTAATAAAACAAAAAAAAAAAAAAAAAAAAAAAAAAAATTCTGATCAGTACTTACCAAGATATAGAGGCATGAAGTTGACCCAAAATAACCGGGTGGTGGCAACATCAGCAACTTCTGCAAAATCGCATTTCTTCATTTTACGTTTTTTATACTTTTTTCTTTTCTTTTCTAATTTTTTTCTTTTTCTAGTAACATTTGTGGCCTGTGAGACCAATACTGTATATAATGTATATATATACACTCACTGTACTGAACACAATAACTGCACTAAAGTTATTATTAAAATATTTTTACCAGTATTGTTTACAACAATAAACATGCACAAATGTTGTATATTACTAATGTTCTATTATATATTTACATATGTACAGTCACTGGACATGTTTTTAGAACTGCTGCAGTCTGTGGACGTCCTTGAAACAAGGTATCATGCACAGAGGTACCTTACATTCCTCACACATAAACCGAGTGTCTTTGCGTCTTTGTTCCCGTCGTTTTGTTTGTGCACAGACACATCTCTTCTGACTCCATATCTTCTTAGTTGCAGGAAGCTGTATTAGGAAGTGATCACCTTCCCTCCTCAAACGCTTGGGTATTTCCTGAGGAGTTCGAGGACGATTTTGCATAGCAGGTGTTGTTACCTGGTACTACATTATGAGTTGTCTGACAACAGACAAACAAAATTTACCATACGGTGGTCTGTTGCTGGTCTTTATTTGGTACATATATGCACTGAGCATTGAAATGCCCATGAGATGGAAGAAAAATTTCACGTACCACTTGTAACTCTTATGAACACAATCGACAAAGCCAATCTGCATGTCACATTTGTCAAGTAAACGCATGTTTTGTGTATAATCAATCACTGTTACTGGTTTTCAAATATGTTTATTAGTCACTCTCTCAACTTTGCCACTGTCATTTCGTTAGGGTGAATGGTTGTCAACAATGTGACATCTCATTTGTCATGCCACCGTAATGCCATGATGTCACTGGCAGTAAACACCTGCACCTCACCAGCACGAGTGCCTGCGTTGAACCTGGGCATATGTTTATGATTAGAACGCACTTTGCCACACACACCTGTCATGCTCACTCACAAGAAATCACTGAGTAGAGTGCTTGTGTACCAGTTATCACTATACAATGTATGCCCCTTACCAAGATAAGGTGCCATCATGCTTCTCACTACGTCACCTGAGATACCCAATAACATCCTGGTATCTTTCAATGTTTTACTTCCCATGTATACAATAATATCCAATACCAGGCCACTGTCACAGTTACAGAGTACAAACAGTTTTATACCAAAGCATTTCCTCTTGCTCGGTATATACTGCTTAAACGACAGTCTACCTTTTAACAAAATCAAAGACTCGTCAATTACAAGATTCTTGAATGGATATAAGTACATGTTGAACTTTTGTTTCAGATACATAAAAACATTTCTAATCTTCTATAACCTGTCACTTCTGTCAGGCCTGGTTTTGTCAGAGAAGTGCAACATACATAACAGTAAGATAAACCTGTTCACTGGGATGATTTCACTGAAGGCCGAGGTACAAATTAGCCAATCTGTGGACCAGTATGATTTTATATTATGCTTATAGACATGAGGCATAAGCATTATTGTTGCAAAAAGGAAATACATTTCAGCCACAGTTGTCTCTTTCCACCAGTGTAGTCTTCACTGTGGTGATATGATCGTATTTGCCATTGTGTACTCAAAATGACTCACAAAATCGTAATGACATGATTGCAAACAAACCATACCATGGGCGGGGATAGAACCCGCGATCAGAGAGTCTCAAAACTCCAGACCGTCATGAAGACGGTCTGAAGTTTTGAGACTCTCTGATCGCAGGTTCTATCCCCGCCCGTGGTATAGTTTGTACTCAAAATACTTGTTACTTTCCCTGACAATAATTTCCATGAAGGGCTGGTCAAAGAATAGTTCAAAGAATTCCAGTTTATTTGCAGTGTTTCCAAGGTAACAAGCTGGTAGTATTCCACTTGGAGTCGTCAAACTGATGGGGAGTGGGAACAAAATTGGAATTTTGCTGCCAATCCCAAATGCGGTTTGCTGGTGGATACTGGACATCATAAGCTGGTTGTGGTTGTAGTTGTAGTTGTGGTGTGGTGGTGGATGATGCTCCGCTTTGTCCTTGATCTGATGAGTCAGCGGTGTGGGTCCCAGCCTGGGCTGGTGAGTCATGCATTTCCGTAGCACTACCCCCACCACTATCACCACCACCTACTGATGCCTGTGGTCTATCCATGCCAAGTGTAGCCACATCATCCTCACTTTCACTGTCTATTCCTGGTGTAGGGCCACGGAATGTACTCTGGGGATGTACTCTGTCCTCTTGGCACTGCATAGGGAACACTACCCAAGTGCATGCGGCGGTGTACGAAGCTTCACTGGTGAATATGATTCATCACTATCACTACTTGAATGATCATCAAGAGCAATAAAATCACAGTCCACATCACTATCATCATTACTGAAATCTGAGGCCTGGCCACGCAAAAATATTAATTTTCTCTTGTGACAAGGTACAACTGAACGTGACTGAGACGTGCCCACACCAGAGGTAGAAGGTTGAGGATTGTCATGATTTTCTGCACTATTTTCAATGTTTTGGTCAATGTTTTCGGCCACTAATCGATCAAAGCTATAGAATTCCTCTTCTTTTCCACTTCCATCAGAGTCAGAACTATAAGTTAGGAAGAGGAGAGTCCCAACTTGCCTCGGAGTGAGAGCTGCCTTGCCGCGAGGCATGGTGAACAAAGCTTACTGAGGCGGCGTTCCCACAATGCCATGCGGGTGCCTAGAATTTTTGTTTACGGCGCACACACACCATGCAAACCCGTTCTCTTAGATGTAGGCCCACCAGCCTTCTCACGCTAAATTTGACGCTGCTAGAATTTTGGCGTAGTTATATGGTTTGGACCCTCAATGTAAAGCCATAGAATTACGGCACGGACCCTGAAAGGGTTAAACTAGGAATAAAACTACATTAAAAGCTAAATCTTTGAAATGTGTTTTAAGTCAAATTTGAGCATTTAAAAATAATGAATATAAACAGAGCACTAGTCAATCACCATCATTCACACATAATCACTGTCTTTGCAGAGGCGCCCAGACATGATGTGTTGAATGATGGTGAAAGCATTTCTTTTTTGGGTCACCCTACTTCGGTGGGAGATGGCCGGCGTGTTAAAAAAAAAAAAACTATAGTCAATAAATTATATAGTAAGAATAAACAGAAGATACAATGATAGGTTAATATTTTTATTACAGTTCATTATAATTTTTGTTCTTATTAAAAACAATATTTAAAACATACTTCCTGTGTTCCATTAGTATAGGTGAACTCTAGAACAGAATCCCACTCTCCTTGTACTCGTGATAAAGTTGCCCCCGCAGCATTTTTAACTTCTGCTGTTACTCTATGCAGCTTCCCGCCATAGAATGGCTGAAATATAAAAAAAAAAGAAATAAAATAAATACATTAACTTTATTTTAATAATCCCAGAACAAATTATCCTAAAATATGCATAAAATCCACTGTTTAAAATACATGAGAGAAAGATGTGTCTGAGAAGACATATGAGGGACTTGTACTATACAGAGAGACCTATTAATGAAATGCAACCTTGACAAGGTTTAAGGTATTGTAATGGGAGATTTCAACTAGAAACAGACTTGTAAGTCTATGAAGCTGGAACTGTATATAAATGGTCAGCCAAATTTCTCAATGTAACAACAACTTTATATATCACCACAAAATGGAAGCAAAATGAATGATAAGGTTACACACCATCAACACTTGACCTGATATTCACTAGAAAAAAGAGGAAGAACTTCTCAACATCTACTATCTAAATCCACTTTGGAGGAAAAAAGAAAAATAAACACAGGAACTAGATTATAAGAAAGGAAATAATGATGTAAAACAGTATTTCAGAAAAAAAAAATTGTATTCAAATATAGTATGCAATTATAAAAAATAATTTAATCCAGAAAAAGGAAAAAAAGACCTGTTTAAACAGGTGTTGGAGAGCCATGAACAAGGAATTACTTAGAACCAATCTAAGAAATGTGCCAACCCAAACATTTCGAAGAGATTCAAACAAGCAGGAAATGAGTATACAAAGGTAAGGAAAAATATGTGGATAATCCAGAAAAAGCCCAAAGAAGCATAGAACAGCTTCCAGAGCTAAAATATAATGTTACAAAGAAAAGCCTAAAAGCATTAAATATGGTCTTATTTACTAACAGTAGGAACAGTAGAAATAATAACTGCTTATATAATAACAAGAGGATATGAAAGGGTATTTAAAAGATTCATAAAGAAGTGCTAAATCCACAGGACTCATACAGTACTTGAGGAAGGGAAGGATAGCTCCAATGCCTTGAATTAAGAGCCCTTCACTGGTATCAGGACACCCCTCTTGAAGGATGATGAAAGATAAGATCAGGAAGATTTCTTAACACTATCAACAGAGAACAAGAGGCCGTAATTGTAAACTGAGGAAGAGTTGCCAAAAGGATATAAGAAAGTTCTTCATAAACAAAATGATATTACAATGGAATGAGTAACAAGAGTTAAAAAAAAAAATTACTACAACTGGAAATTTAAGCAAATTATTGGAGTGATCAAATACTGCGAGACTTGGAGGACTAAAGCCTAGTAACACTAGTTGATGCAATCTTGCACAGCATCACAGGAGAATTTAACTGCATTAACCTGTCCAAATGAAACTGACACACAAAAGCAAATTTTTCGTTATAGCAAAGAAGTGCAAAGCTAAATACACAGAAGAGTATAAAAACAACAGTTATTTATGAGACAAAGAAGTGTGCATGCATTGCACAAAACCTTACCACCAAATGGTTTCAGAAGCATTGTTTTTTCTTGAAGCCAGGAGTATTGTAGGAAAGCTGGTCTCCCTAAAAGAGCACAAGATTTACGCTGATGCTGCTTGACGATGCTTCTAATCACTTACCTATTGACAATTTAGTTTCAAGCAATGTTTCTGAAACATACAGGCCACCCTATTGCACCTCCTTGATCCAATTAATATATTAAGAAATAATTTGGAGTTTGAGAAGATAAAATACTACAAACAGGGTAATGAATGACTTTATAAAGTTAAAACAGAGTGGTGGCTCTAAAACTTTTCATAAAGAATTTACCATTATAAATATAAAACAAAATACAGTGTTGCACAATCACAGGAAACTGCTACTACTCCTATTATAAAGAATGGGTTGGCATAAAATTTTGCCTGTTAGCATGCTGGTTGAAGGGCATACTACCAACAAGTATGAAGACAAAGACTTCTATAGCAGAACCAAATTTTACTGTGAAAATGTCTCTTTAAGGAGAGCTTTCCCAAGTCATCTAAAAAGTTCTCATTAGAAAAAAACACTGTCACAATAAGGCTTGTTATGGAACATAAGTCTTTCTGTTCATACTGCTAGCATGTTCTCTGATAATGCATTTGCTGACTTGAAGGTTTTCATGCAAATTCAAAAAAGCTGAAGTGTATGAATTAAGGAGTCAATCCAAAGAACTATGGGAAATAACTCCTGATATTACTGATTGAGATACTGAGAAATGGGTTTAATGTGACAATCATATTCTTGTACATCAAACACTCACTGGTGCATACAATAATGATGAAAATGAGTTGATAATAGTAGATATACATGAATGTCCTAGGTATTAGGTTGGTAGACAGCAATTGCCCAGGGAAGTACTACCATCCTGCCAAGTACTACCATCCTACCAGTAATTGTTTTACATGATGGTAGGATTGCTGGTGTGGTGTCTCTTTTTCTGTCTCATAAACATACAAGATTTCAGGTATGTCCTGCTACTTCTACTTACACTCAGATCACACTAAACATGCATGTACAAACATATATATATACACACCCCTCTGGGTTTTCTTCTATTTTCTTATTAGTTCTTGTTCTTGTTTATTTCCTCTTATTTCCATGGGGAAGTGGAACAGAATTCTTCCTCCGTAAGCCATGCATGTTGTAAGAGACAACTAACATGCTGGGAGCAAGGGGCTAGTAACCCCTTCTCCTGTATAAATTACTAAATTTAAAAAGAGAAACTTTTGTTTTTCTTTTTGGGCCACCCTGCCTTGGTGGGATACGGCCGGTTTGTTGAAAGAAGAAAGAATAAGAAAGGGAAAAATAAATGAGATTAGGTCAGTTGTATCTGAGAGAATTAGAGCTAAGGAAGGAGAAGCTGCAATGCTGAATTATCAGTTATGGAAAGAAGAGAGGGAATATAAATGTAGAAATTCAAGGATTATGTACACTAATATAAAGATGGGATGCAAAAAATTAAAAAATGGATTATATTAAGTACGTATTGATGCACCTGGGAGGGAGGGAGAGAGAGAGAGAGAGAGAGAGAGAGAGAGAGAGAGAGAGAGAGAGAGAGAGAGAGAGAGAGAGAGAGAGAGAGAAGAGAGAGAGACAGAGAGAGAGACAGAGAGAGAGAGAGAGAGAGAGAGAGAGAGAGAGAGAGAGAGAGAGAGAATGAGAGAGAGACAGAGAGAGAGGACAGAGACAGAGAGAGAGAGAGAGAGAAGAGACAGAGAGAGAGACAGAAGAGAGAGACGAGAGAGAGACAGAGAGAGAGACAGAGAGAGAGACAGAGAAGAGAGACGAGAGAGAGAGAACAGAGAGAAGAGACAGAGACAGAGACAGAGAGAGAGAGAGAGAGAGAGAGAGAGAGAGAGAGGAGAGAGGAGAAAGAGACAGAGAGAGAGAGAGAGAAGAGAGAGAGAGAGAAGAGAGAGAGAGAGAGAGAGAGAGAGGAGAGAGAAGAGAGAGAGAGAGAGAGCAGAGAGAGAGAGACAAGAGAGAGAGACAGAGAGAAGAGACAGAGAGAGAGAGAGACAGAGAGAGAGAGAGAGAGAAGAGAGAGAAGAGACAGAAGAGAGAAGAGAGAGACGAGAGAGAGAGAGACAGAGAGAGAGAGGAGACGAGAGAGGAGAGAGAGAGACAGGAGAGAGAGAGAGAGAGAGGAGAGAGAGAGAGAGAGGACGAGAGAGAGAGAAGAGGAGAGACGAGAGAGAGAGAGAGAGAGAGAGAGAAGACGAGAGAGAGAGAGCAGGAGACGAGAGACGAGAGGAGAGAGACGAGAGAGCAGAGAGAAGACAGAGAGAGAGAGAGAGAGAAGAAGGAGAGAGAAGAGAGAGGAAGATAGAGAGAGAGAGGAAGAGAAGAGAGGAGATAGAGAGAGAGAGAGAGAGAGAGAGAGAGAGAGAGAGGACAGAAGAGAGAGAGGAGAAGAGAGAGAGAGAGAAGAGAGAGACAGAAGAGAGGAAAAAGAGAGAAAAGAGAGAGAGAGAGACAGAGAGAGAGAGAGAGAGGAGACGAGAAGAGAGGGAAGAGAGAGAGACAGAGAGAGAGAGAGACAGAGAGAGAGAGGAGACAGAGAGAGAGAGAGAGAAGAGAAGAAGAGAGAGGAGAGGAGAGGAAAGAGAGAGAGAGAGAGAAGAGAGAGGACAGAGAGAGAGAGAGGACAGAGAGAGAGAGAGAGAGAAGAGAGAGAGAGAGAGAGACAGAGAGAGAGAGAGGAGAACGGAGAGGAGAGGAGAGAGGAGGAGAGAGAGAGAGAGAGAGGAGAGAGCGAGAGAGAGAGACGAGAGAGAGAGAGAGAGAGGAGAGAGAGACAGAGAGAGACAGAGAGAGAGACGAGAGAGAGAGACAGAGGAGAGACAGAGAGAGAAGAGGAGGAGGAGAGAGAGAGACAGGAGAGAAGAAGAGAGAGAGAGAGAGGAGAGAGAGAGACAGAGAGAGAGAGACAGAGAGAGGAGGAAGAGAGAGAAGAGAGAGAGAGAAGAGAAGAGAGAAGGAGAAGAGAAGAGAGACAAGAGAGAGAGAACAGAAGAGAGAGAGAGAGAGGAGAGAAGAGAAAGAGAGAGAGAGACGAGAGAAGAAAGAGGAGGAGAGACGAGAGAGAGAGACGAGAGAGGAGGACAGAGAGGAGGAAGAGAGAGAGAGAGAGAGAGAGAGAGACAGAGAGAGAGAAGACAGAGAGCGAGAGGAGAGAGACAGAGAGAGAGAGGAGAGAGAGAGAGAGGAGAGAGAGAGAGAGAAGAGAGAGAGAGAGAGAGAGAGAGGGAGAGGAGAGAAGAGAGAAGAGAAGAGAAGAGAGAGGAGAGAGACAGAGAGAGAAGAAAGAAGAGAGAGAGAGACAGAAGAGAGAGACAGGAGAGGAGAAAACAGAGAGAAGAGACAGAGAGAGAGAGAGAACGAGAGAGACGAGAGAGAGGAGAGAAAGAGAGAGAGAGAGAGAGAGAGAGAGAGAAGAGAGAGAGAGAGAGAGAGAGAAGAGAGAGAGGACGGAGAGAGAAGAGAGAGAGAGAAGAGAGAGAGAAAAGAGAGAGAGAGGGAAGAGAGAGAAGAGAAGAGGAGAGAGAGAGAGAGAGAGAGAGAGAGGAAAAGAGAGGAAGAGAGAGAGGAGAGAGAGAGACAGAGAGAGAGATTTTGGGAGATGTTAAGCAAGTGTTTAGGGAGTTTTGAATCAAGTGAAAGAACAATTGTTGAGAGGGACCTAAATGCTTAAGTGGGAGAAACTGTATTAGAGGGCATGGTAGGTAAGTTTGGGGTGCCAGGAGTAAATGATAACAGGGGGCATTTAATTGAACTTTGGATAGAAAAAGTTTTGGTAACAGGTAATACATATTTTAAGAAAAAGAGGATAAATAAGTACACAAGACATTGTATAGGATGTAATGAGAGCAGTCTGTTAGACTGTATTAGAAGAAAAAAGCTGATGGGTGGACTTTTGGATGTGCATGTTTTTATAGGGACAAAGGAAAATCAGATTAATATTTAGTTGTACCTACTGTGAGAGTAAGAGGCAGATAGGGTACATACTTGCTGGATGCCCAAGCCCTTTACATACAAAACCTCCTTCACACCCTCCCACCAATCTTTCCTACGATGAGCCCTACCCTGTCTTCCCTCCACTACAGATTTATACACCCTCCAAGTCATCCTGTTTTGTTCCATCCTCTCTAAATATCTGTACCACCTCAACAACACTTCCTCAGCCCTCTGGATAATACTTTTAGTAACCCCGCACCTCCTCATAATCTCCAAGATGCAAATTCTCTGCATGTTACTCACAACACACACTGCCCTCACACATGACTTCTCCACTGCCTCCTCCTTACTGAAACATTCACAACCCACACTTCACACCTATATAAGAGCATTGCAGTACCATTATACTCTCATAGATTTCCCTTTGTGCCTCCATTCTTTGTCTCCAAGATTGCCTCAGCGCACCACCCACCTTTTTATCCTCCAATTCTATGGTTCATCTCATCTTTCACAGACCCATCTCCTGACAGGGATAACATTCTTTGTTTCCACAGACTCCTTGGTGTGCCACTCACCTCTTTCCTCATCAATTCTATGATTCACCTCCCAGATATCTGAATGCATTCACTTTGTCGATGCTCCCTCCCTCCAATTTGATATCCAATCTATAACTGCCAAAATTATTTCCTTCCTTCATCAACTTGCTCTTTCCTATCTTCACTTATAATTTCCTTCTTTTACATACCCTCCCAAATTTGTCAACTAACCATTGCAACTTCTCTTCAGAATCTCCCAAAAACACTGTGTCATTGGCAAAAAGTAACTGTGATAGTTTCCATTTTGTATTAGATTCTTTATATTCCTATCCCACACATCTTCCCAACACCCCAGCATTCACGTCTTATTCGACATATCTATAAGTATATTAAACAATCATGGTGACATCATGCATCCCTGTCTAAGGCTTACTTTCAGTGGAAAATAATCTCCCTCTCTCCTACATACTCTAACCTGAGCCTCACTATCCTCAGTAAAAACTCTTAACTACTTTCAGTAACCTACCACCTATTCCATACACCTGCCACATTGCTACCCTATTCACCCAATCATATGCCTTTTTCAAAACAATAAATGCAATAAAAACTTTCTTACACTTATCTAAATACTGTTCACTTATATGCTTTAATGTAAACACTTGTTCTTCACACCTGCTACCCTTCCTAAAGCCTCTTTGTTCATCTGCGATCCTGCTCTCCCTCTTATCCTTAATTCTTTCAACAATAACTCTACAATACACCTTACCAGGTATACTCAATAGGCTTATTTCCCTATAATTCTTACACACTCTTTTGTCTCCTTTGCCTTTATACAAAGGAACTATGCATGCTCTCTGCCATTCCCTAGGTTTCATCCCATCTTTCATACATTTATTGAATAGTACCAACCACTCCAAAACTATATCCCCACCTGCTTATAACATTTCTGTCATGATCCCATCAATCCTAGCTGCTTTATCCCTTTTCATATTACTCACTGCCTCACACTCCTCCACCACTCTCACATCTGGCTCTTCCTCATTCCTAAAGAATGGTATACCTCCCTGGCCAATGCATGAAATCACTGCCTCTCATTCTTTGACAACATTTAACAGCTCCTAAAAATATTCCTGCCATCTCAAGACCTTTAATTCTCTTCTGTCTTTTACTGTCAAATCCATTTGTTTCCTAGGCTTTTTCAGCCTATTAATCTCATTAATTTTCATATAGTCAGACTTGAGTCCTGGAAATGGGAAGTACAGTGCCTGCACTTTAAAGGAGGGGTTTGGGATATTGGCAGTTTGGAGGGATATGTTGTGTATCTTTATATGTGTATGCTTCTAAACTGTTGTATTCTGAGCACCTCTGCAAAAACAGTAATAATGTGTGAGTGTGGTGAAAGTGTTGAATGATGATGAAAGTATTTTCTTTTTGGGGATTTTCTTTCTTTTTTGGGTCACCCTGCCTCGGTGGGAGACGGCCGACTTGTTGAAAAAAAAAAAAAAAAAAAATCTCATTCCAAAACATTTTATTCTCAGCAAAATTTGTTGACAAGAATCTCACCCACTCTTAACCTCTCTTTTTACTCTCCATATATCTATCACTTCTGTTTTGTAAAAAACTCTCATATGCTCACTTTAATTTATCATTTCACCAGTTCCTCCTTTTCCCTCTCAAACTCACCCTCCCTATATCCATAAACTTCCGCTGCACATTTTAACACAGCATTCTTAAATCTACCCCATATGTCTTCAACCTCATTACCCATACTCTCACTAGCCCATCTACCAATAGCTGCTTATATTTTGTTTTAACTACCTCCTCCTTTAATTTATAAACTTTTATCTCTCTCTTATTAGTATGCCATTTTCCTTGTACCTCACCTACCTCTTGCTCTCAATGTATCTACAACTAAATAATGATCTGACATAACTGTTGCCCCTCTATAAATATGCACATCCAGAAGTCTACCTATCCACCTTTTATCCAATACATAGTCCAAACTACTGTCATTACACCGTATGTCATATCATGTATACTTATTTATCCCATTTTTTCATAAAATATGTATTTCCTATTTTCAAATCTCTTTCTATACAAAGTTCAAAGTACCCCCTTCCCTACTGTCATTTTTCCTGGCATCCCAAATGTACCAACTATGCCCTCTACAACAGTTGCTCCCGCTTTAGCATTTAGATCTCCCACCACAATTACTCTCTCACTTGATTCAAAACTCCCTTCTCTGCACTCCTCTCTTCTCTAAGTGTATAAACACTTTTTGCATCCGACCCTTATTTTAAACCACAAAATCCTTGAATTTATACATATGTATTCCCTCTTTTCCTGCCATAACTAATCCTTCAACGTAACTGCTACAAAGATACCCCTAACCTAATCCCATTTATCTCTCTCCACTGAAACTCCCACACCCCCCTTCAATTTTGTTTCAGTTAGAATCAGGACATCCAGCTTCTTTTCATTCATAACACTGACAGTCATCTCTTTCTTATACCCTGCACTACATCCATGCACACTCGGATATCCCAACTTTATAAAGTTCTTCTTATATTTAGTAATTTATACAGGCAAAGGGGGGTTACTAGCTTCTTGCTCCTGGCATTTTAGTTGTCTTTTATGACACACCTTATATATATTTTAATCAAATAGTAAAATTTTAATTATTAACTTCAATTTTTTAGTTGCACTTTCCTAAAATTTCATAAATATAATTTATAAAAGGCACATTAAAATATGGTATTAAAAATACATTAAAATTGAACTTCGAAACAAATTATTTCACTTAGTAAAAGCTGTTCACCTTTGTATGGAAGACAATAACAGCCTGACAGCCAGTTTCTGGTGAAGAAATGTTGACACGCCCTCCCAGTTCTACCCACGGCTCCGTAAGAATGCTACGAGCATATGCAGAGGGCATGGCCAAGCTGTAGCTCTCTCGAACGCCCCCTATTACAAGCGTTATGTCCCCAACCAGGTTTACACCAATGGACATGCCCATGAATTTTGATTTGGTCCAGATGTGGGCATTAATACTAAGCTGTTTCTCAGGACATTCGAAGTAGAATGCCGACACTGAAAAAGTAGAGTATCAATAAAATGCTGATTTCTAAAACTCATCAACTACATGAAAAGCATACTTCCTGCCTAACAAGAATACCCTTCAGCCTTTAAGAGTGAACATCCAGTCATATTTATCTACATTAAAACATGTTATAAACATTCATTTATATTAATACAGGTTAAACACATACATCTACATTAAAACATGTTATACACATTCATTTATATTAATACAGGTTACACATATTCAGCTACACTAAAACATGTTATAAACATTCATCTACATTAACACAGCTCATACATATTGTCTCAGCTACTACACCACTACGACAATTATGAAGGCACTGGAAGAAAGCCTATATGCAGATATAGTACACTCTGTTTTTGTAAAGGCTTTTGATAAATGTGATTATGGGATGATTGCACACAAAATAAATAAGGGCTATAAGTATAAATAGGAAAGTAGGCAAATGGATATTCAACTTTCTGACAGAAAGAATGCATAGAGTGGTACTACACAGAGCAAAATCCGGCATTAGCAAAGTTAAAAGCTCAAGGCATTGAGCCTGGCACTTTTATGGTTTCTTATCTTCATAGTGGCCACTGTTTTGTATCATTTGTGAATGATACCAAAATAAGCATAAAAATCACCTTGGTAGAAGAGAGACAAAAACTGAAAGATGGTATATATATGCAAAGCCTGTCAATGGGTAACAGAAAATAACATGACTTTAAATGGTGACACTTTCTAACCATTTCAATATGGAAAGAATGAAGAACTCAAAAGGGACACTGTACATAAAACACAAGAGGAACACCAAATAGAAGTAACATGTGAAGGCTCTGAGTGTAATAATGCTAGCTGTCTTTCCTTTCTAAGAATACAATAAAGCAAGTGTCACAGCAGCCAGGATAATGACAGGGTGGATAATGAAAACTTTCAAACCAAGGGAAATAATGTTAGGTAAAAGGACACGTGTGGAACTAATGAGCCACTTTATTGTGGCAATGTTTCACTCTCCAGGAGCTTTGTCAACCCATTACATGTTGTCAGAAATTCTACCAAGAGTATTACAAGGGAAATAATGCCAAAGGTAACACTTTTAAAGCCACTTGTGCTCTCTTGCTTGGAGTACTGTTCTGTGTTGATGGCTCTGTTCAGAACAGGAGAGATATCAGAAATGGAACAGATGCAAAGATCATTTATAGCTTGCAGAGCCAAAAAAGCATTCAAATTACTAGGAACACCTCAAAGTCCTAAATAAGTAATTGCCAGAGAAGTGATACTGTACATGATAATATACATGTGGAAAGTACCTGAGGGCCTAGTTCCAAATCTGCACACTGCCATAACATACTGGAGAGAGATCTGGCATAATATATACAATAAACCTAGTGAAAGGCAGGAGCATTGTGGGCACAAAAAATATGACATTGTATCAACATACGTAGTCCCCCAACTTTTTAACATTCTGCCAGACAATATCAGTAACACTGCTGGAACAAGTGTAGGAGCTTTCAAGAGGACACTAGACAATTTCCTCCATCAAGTGCTAAATCAACCAGGCTGTGACAGATATGTGGGCCAACAGGATGCCAGTAGCAACAAGCTGGTTGGCCAGGCAAGCATCAGACAAACCTGCTCTAGGTTGAGAGAGTAGGAAAACTCTTGAAACCCAGCCAAGGTATATCAAAGGTATATTATCACAGGCTGGTAAATGAATTTGGGAAGGTATGTAAACAAAAGGAAACAAAGTGAAAAGTGATGATAGTATAAAAAAATATAGGCACTGAAAGATTGGATGTCAGATTAGAAGGAGGGAGAGAGAGGGAATATGAAGGAAGAAAATGTGCTCAAATATTTGGGAGTGGACTTATTGGTGGATGGTTCTATGAGAGATAAGGTGAAAAATAGAATTGATGAGGGGAAAAAAAAGTGGGTGATGTACTGAGGCATCTGAGGAGACAAAGAGCCTGATCCATGGAGGTAAAAAGGGGAATGTGCTAAAGCATAGTGGCATCAATACTGTTGTATGGGTGTGAGGCATGGGTTTTTAATATTACAATCAGGAGGAGGCCAGTGGTAGTAGAAATGTCTGAGGGTAATATATGATGTGAATACTGCACAGAGCATTTGGGGTTTGGAAGAGTAGGAGGAGGTGTGCAGTTATCAAAAGCATTTATTCAGAGTGCCTGAATAATGTAGATATACAAAGGAGACACTGAAAGGGTAAATAAAGACTATCAACAAAAGTTTAAATGCCTATCATGGAAAGCATTTTCCAGTAATTGCTCTGAACCCAACAATTTGTTTTTTAAAAATGTTATTAAAATTTAAAATTTCCACCTACACAGGATAAACTAATGGGGTGTCTTCCTTCTTATGGAATGTATCAGTGCTAATATTTTGAAGCTGCTAAGGTGAGACATTCTTTAGTTTATGAATGAAATCAATATCACTATTTAATAAAACTGACATATTGGGATTTATGCAGCCCAATAAATGTAAATAGAACTAAAAATATGAATCTGATCAAAAGAGGCATTCTCAAGTTATTGGGCAGATTCCAATGATTCGAAGTTTTATAAACTAATTTAGGATAGTAAACCATGTCCTAAATGAAACAAGCTGGGAAGATATCCTAAACAACACAGACCCGAACATCTGCCTTGAAAAAATGAATTCTGTGGTTCTTGAGATCTGCTCAAGACACATTCCATTAAGAAAAAGAAAGAGAAGATGTAAACTAGAAAGAGACGTTTCCTATACAGACGAAGGCGAAGGGTCACAGAGCTGCTGAGTGGGGTCAATATATCTGAAATACGAAGGGAAGCACTAGTCAATGAAACTGCAAATATCGAATTTAAGCTGAAGGAATCTTACAGGAGACAAGAATCATAGGAAGAACTAAAGGCCAAAAAGGAAATTGAAAAAAAAAAAAAAAAATACTTCTTCTCTTATGCCAAATCTAAGGTAAAAACAACATCCAGTATTGGGACCCTGCTTAGGCAGGACGGGACATTCATAGATAATAGCTAAGAAATGAGTGAGATACTAAAGTCCCAATATGACTCTGTGTTCAACGATCCACTGCCCACTCTAAGGGTCGACAATCCAAATGAATTCTTTATGAACGAAACCCAAAATTTGGCCATCCCAAAGCTCTTGGATATTATTATAACTCCATGAGATTTTGAAGAGGCAATTAATGACATGCCCATGCACTCTGCCCCAGGCCCAGACTCATGTAACTCCGTGTTCATCAAGAACTGCAAGAAGTCCCTATCGCATGCCTTCAGCATTTTATGGAGAGGGAACATGGACATGGGGGTCATCCCACACACACTAAAAACAACAGACATAGCCCCACTCCACAAAGGTGGCAGTAAAGCAACTGCAAAGAACTACAGACTGATAGCACTAACATCCCACATCATAAAAATCTTTGAGAGGGTTCTAAGAAGCAAGATAGCCAACCACCTAGATACCCATCAGTTACCCAACCCAGAACAATACAGGTTTAGAGCAGGTTGCTCCTGCCTGTCCCAGCTTCTGGACCACTATGACAAGGTCCTGGATGCGGTAGAAGATAAACAAAATACAGATGTAGTATACACAAACTTTGCAAAAGCTTTTGACAAGTGTGACCATGGTGTAATAGCACACAAAATGCGGGATAAAGGAATAATGGGAAAAGTTGGTAGATGGATCTACAACTTCCTGACAAATAGAACACAAAGAGTAATATAAACAGAGTAAAGTCCCAGGCAGTCATGGTAAAAAGCTCTGTTCCACAAGGCACAGTATTCGCTCCCATTCAATTCCTCATCCTCATTTCTGACATAGACAGAGATGTAAGCCATAGCTCTGTGTCTTCGTTTGCAGATGACATCCGGATCACCATGGCAGTGACCTCCATCGAAGACACCACGAGACTCCAAGCTGACATCAACCTAATCTTCGAAAGGGCCACTCAAAACAATATGAAGTTCAACGAAGAGAAATTTCAACTACTCAGATATGGAAAACTTGAAATTAAAAATGTGTCAGGGTATACCACAAATTCTAACCGTACAATATAACGGAAAAGTAATGTGAAGGACTTGGGAGTGATAATGTCAGGGGATCTCGCCTTCAAAGACCACAACAATGTATCTCCCTCATCCGCTAGGAAAATGATAGGATGGATAATGAGAACCTTCAAAACTAGGGATGCCAAGCCAATGATGATTCTCTTCAAATTGCTTGTGCTCTCTAGGCTGGCATATTGCTGTACACTAATGGCCCCCTTCAAGGCTGGTGACACTGCAGACCTGGAGAATGTACAAAGAATTTTCACGGCACACATAAGTGCGATAAGGCACCTAAACTACTGGGAACGGCTGAAGGTCTTTGGTCTGTATTCCCTCGAACGCAGGCGAGAGAGAGACACGATAATATACACTTGGAAGGTCCTGGAGGGATTGGTACCAAACCTGCACACGAAAATCACTCCATATGAAAGCAAAAGACTCTGCAGGAGATGCAACATTCCCCCGATGAAAAGCAGGGGTGCCACGAGTACACTGAGAGACAACACAATAAGTGTCCGGGGCCTGAGACTGTTCATTTGCCTCCCAGCATACATAAGGGGGATTACCAACAGACCCCTGGCTATCTTCAAGAAGGCACTAGACAGGCACCTAAAGTCAGTACCTGACCAACTGGGCTGTGGTTCGTACGTCAGCTTGCGTGCGGCCAGCAGTAACAGCCTGGTTGATCAAACCCTGATCCACCATGAGGCCTGGTCTCAGACCAGGCCGTGAGGGCGTTGACCCCCGAAACCCACACAAATACAATTTAATGGGTACCATTCTGTCTGTAAGATGCATCAACCACTAAGTATTAAAGTCATTCAAAGAGGAGATACACTCAAATATATTTAACCCTTGGAGTTTCAAGACCCCTGCTCACAAATTTGCTAATAGTGTTGAAGAATTTAAAAAAAAAAAAAATTCTTATGAAATGACAGAGAGTCTTTTTTCCAAAGAAAATGAAACCAAAAGTTCAAAATTTGATGGAAAACTTAGGGAATTATGCTCTCACGAAGTTAGCGGTCTTGGCAATACAGTGGAACCTCTGGTCATGAACGCTTCTGAACACAAACAAATCAGTTCATGACCAAAAAATTCGCCAATTTTTTGCATCTGGTCATGAACACATAACTGGGTGCCGAACAAACACAGCCGCGCCAATTTTCACATTCTGCGCCATTTTTTCATACATGCCAATTTTCCCCACTTCCTGTAATTACAGCAGTGATAAATTCAGATTAGCAATGTTTTAGTGCCAAAACAGCTCCTCGCATAGCAATGTTTTATCAGCAGGTAGTGCCGAAACAGCTTCTCACAGTGCCAGTACCTGGGTAGAGTTTGCCATATATGATTTTTGGCAAATATTTTTGTTATCAGTTGTTTGTTGGGCTATCTTATTGAAACTTGGATAACGTATGATGGAAAAAAGCTCTTAACGTACACCAAAAATGAAAGAAATCAGACAAAAAATAACTAATCAGTCATTAGACGCCCCTTAAAACTCTTAGGACTCATGCAATGTTAGTTTTCTCTGTTGTTCAAGGTTTTCTCAGTGTTATTCATGGTTTTTACATTTGGTTTACTATTACACTGTGCATTCTATGGTTTAATTAACTATTTCTGTGCTTAAAAATCTTGAAAAAACAATATTTACATACAGTTTGTAGGGGTCAGGAACACATTAATCATATTTACATACAATCCAATGGGGAAATTAGGTTCGGTCAGGACCAAATTGGGTTGCAACCAAAGTTTTGAAATGAATTATAGTCGTGACCAGAGGTTCCACTGTATTTATGCAACAGTGATTTCACCCAATCTGAGCCCTATTTTGAGTCAATTCCTTTGTTCCACTTGACTAAATTCATAGCTATTTCGCTAGAACTCTTTGTATTCTATCGATTGAGTACAAGAAACCCTCCACTTACCTATTTCAACTACACAAAATAATGATCAGAAATTACTAATTTGGCCAATTTCACATAAAATTCAAGATAAGAGCCAGAATAAGCAATGCAGATATTCTTGGCACTAAAATAACATTGTCTCTGTTCATTAGTCACGTCTCTAGGCCCCTCTTATATTACTCTTGCTTTTCATTTGGAATTTTTATTCAGAAAAAAAAAAATGATGATTTACTGTTATTCAGACTACTGCATAATTGTAATAAATAATATCAGTGCATTCGTGAATGCATATCAGACCCACCAGTTGATATGTATTGGATGTGTGATGTGATTTGTTTACTCTTGAACATTGTCAAAAATCTAACATGTCTGCTACTATGAGCTCAATTTCAAGCCACTCTTAGTTAATAAACTATTCAAAATCACCTCTTTTTCTGTAATATATTTTCATTCTATCAAATGAGACCAAGAAAATGAGAATACAACCATAAATACCATATGAAAATACATAGCAAAGTTGCTGTTATAAGCCAAAAACACAGTTGCAGTTTTTTTCTAATTACGCATTGCTTGTTCCAGGATTTTTTTTATACCGTGCACACTGACCCATTCTCTCATATGTAAGCCTACCAGTTGTCTCCCACAAGATTTTAAGTCACTAGAATTTTGGCGCTGTATTACCGAACCGACACTGGCTTCAAAGCCATAATTTTATAGGACCAACACTGAAGAGGTTAATGTCAAGCAACAGAAGGTTTTGGAAGTTACTGGAACCATTACAGAAGCCAGATGGATGAGGCCTTCTTGTGTTATGAGTGAAATAAAAGTGAAAAGTTGGAGACAGAAAGAAAAAAATACAACCAATACTTAATTAGACACAGAATATTATAGCTCAGGAACATACACGTATCTCTAATTGCAGCAGGTGTCTATGAGTTAATAGGTTCCATGTTCCCAACAATTTTCAGGTGCTCATCAACGTTTTAAGTTATGGAATCTATACTTCACCTGGAAAACTGTATGTGTGTGATATATGTTGATAGTAATGATGACAACACATGTACAACTCACCTGAAGAATGATAGTAATACATGCATATTCTCACCTGGAGGATGGTGAGAGACCTGCTCAGCAGAGAACTTGATAGTGATGAAGGAGCCCTTCTTCCCCTCAGCTGTTTTACCTTCAGAAGTTTCAGTAGCTTCTTGCTTGAGAGGTACCAAGACTTCAGAGTTAGATATATTGATTTCAGGTAGGTAATGAGGCAAAAATTTTCTCTCCTTAATATAAATTACTATTATAGATATCAAAGGTACCTGTCTAATGTTGTACTGTCACAAGATACAGTTTTATGTCTTCCATGCTACATCACATCTTTTAAAATTAAATAATCTACAGAAGGTAAACATATTTAAATGATTCATAATTTAATATAAGATGGAGATCATAGAATAAATGCAGTTTTTTAATATGTAAATCTGTCTCAAAACAGGTAATACAGAAATTATTATATACTGTACTGCACAAAGTTTAAAGTAGTGTGTGGAGAGTTGCTACCTATAATACAAATGTATCATCTTCCACACTATTACCAAAGCTGTGGTTCAGCACACAATAATAATAATTATTTTTTTAACATGTGGGCCATCTCCCGCAACAAAAGTTCTTCTTTATATATTCAAATGAAACAAGCCAATATATATATATAGATGTATATCTGTGCATATACTGTACTGATATTGTATATAGACCAATAACCCATTTTATAGTTACACTACAGGGAGTAATTTTTTGTAAAGGTGAGTGAAAAAGTGAATGTATCATTGCATAGTGCATGAAAAACCTCAGTATATGCATTATACTATTCTGGATGGACATTTTCAATTGCACTTCAAAAGGAAATCACAATGTGTAACATGGTTTTATAAGAGGGTCAACTGCTAATATTAAATTTATAACATAGAAAACTTAATAAAAAACCAATAATCATGTTAGTCTATATTTCTTTAAGAATTTCAAAATTTAAACACTACTCGTATTCCAGAAACACATACCGATTTGGAATTAAAGTCCCGAGGAATACGCCAACTACAGTGAAATACTTCTCCAATGATCGGATTGTATGGTTTCTTGGCCACAGACCCATTTCGGCCAACATGAATACTAGTCAAGTACCACTTGACTACTTGCTGTATACGTTCCTCTGAGGTCTTAGCATCTCCAATTCTACAATAATAAAAAGATAACATGAATTACTTCAGAATTAGTAAGCAAGAAAGAAACAACTGGAAAAGGTTAACCAGGTAACTGTCACCATGTAACTGATTAGATACTTATTACTATATTCACAAAAACTACTAAATCAGAGATAGGAAAAGGAAAGAGGTAGAAGTGTTTAGGATATAACCATCAGAAAAGATAGGTGGGGGTCCCTTGCTGTCTAACAAGTTATTGTCTATGTTTGTTTACAGTACTTTGTAGGTAGTACAGTGGAACCTCAACTTAGGAGTGTCCCAACATATGAGTTTCTCGAGATACGAGCTGTCGCTCGGTTGTTTTTTGCTCTGGGTTACGAGCCAACATCCGAGTTATAAGTGAGCTTCCCCCAATTCCCCCTCAACCCACAACCTGTACACCTTGCTTCTTTATCTATGATTTCATGTTTTAATTCCATGGAAATCCTCCTCTTTTACTTCTCAGCACTGTCCTTTGCACTTACTTTCTTAGGACCCATGGTTAGAAAAAAGAAATTTGGCCAAAAGATTGTAAAAAATGTAAGCAAAGTAAAAGAGAAATGCTTCCACAGCGAGGTAAACAGTATGCTGCACCAACTAGTGGTGGTGTTTTGAAGCTCCTCATTATTATCATTATTACAGTGGACTTCCGACCAACGAAGGCATCGTCTAAAGATAAATTCGACTAACGAAGCGTTTGAGCGTAAAAGTTTTGGCCCGACCAATGATAAAAAACTCGACCAACATGATTCGTCCTGAACGCGTCCACATGTCCCGTCTGGCCTGAGCACGCCTTAGCTGCCTTGCCTTCAGTTAGTGTGCCAATGTTTACAAGCCAGTCCGGTCGCATCCACGCGTACATTCGGTACATTTTGTATTATTCCAGTGTTTTTAGTGCTTGTAACTGCAAAATAAGCCACCATGGGCCCCAAGAAAGCTTCTAGTGCCAACCTTGTGGTAAAAAGGGTGAGAATTACAATTGAAATGAAGGAGGAGATCATCACTACTATCTTGGCCAACAGAAAGGCAATCAAGGAAGCTGTTGTTACAAAAGGTGCAAGTATCTTTTCGAAACACAGATCGCAAGTACTCAAAGATGTTGAGAGACTGTTATTGGTGTGGATAAGTGAAAAACAGATATCAGGAGATAGTATCTCTCAAGCGATCGCATGTGAAAAGGCAAGGCAGTTGCATGATGATTTAATTAAAAAAATGCCTGCAATTAGTGGTGATGTGAGTGAATTTAAGGTCAGGTAAATGTCATTTATTCTTCATTACACAATATACATATGTATACATGTATTGTGCATCTATCCTTCTGTTTGTGTGTAGGAAAATGTATAATTCATGTGGTAAAAATATGTTTTTTAATACTTTTTGGGTGTCTTGAACGGATTGATTTGATTTCCATTATTTCTTATGGGGAAAATTGATTCAACTAACGATAATTTCATCTAACGATGACCTCTCTGGAATGGATTAATATCGTTAGTCAAGGGTCCACTGTATTATTAATTTAGGTAGCTGGAGCACAGATCCAAGTCCCTAGATCAAGAGCCCCTTGCCAGCATCAAGGTTCCCTGATGCTGGTGAGGGGCTCTTGATCTAGGCAGGGAATTGGATCTGTGCTCCAGTTCCCTAAATTAATAATAATAAAATTACTGTAATAATAATAATAACCATTATTGTAATAATAATAATAATAATAATAATAATAATAATAATAATAATAACCGCGCTTCGGTTCCCTAAATTAATAATAATAATAATCATACCTAACAGAATACTCCATTCTACTGAATGTACAGCAATGCATGCAATCATATGACCTGTCTTTGTAATACTCATTTGTGCTTTATTGTTATCTGTTTACAATAATGTTTTATCACTGATTACATCATTGCTTAGTTAATCTTAAGTTAATTTTAAGCCTACCCGTAATGCTATGCATACAAGTGGCTTTGGCATGCTGCTCTTACCTGTATTTTTTTGTACCTCTGTATGTTCAAATTATTAAATAAATAAATAAATAAAAATAAAAATATTTAGATAAAGGTAGGGAAGTTTTCACTGCAATAATGGATTTAGAAAAGGCATATGATAGTGGATAAAGGAGCAATGTGGCAGATGTTGTAAGTATATGGAATAGGTAGCAAGTTACTAAAGGCTGGAAAGAGTTTTTATGAGGATAGTGAGGCTCAGGTTAGGGTGTGTAGAAGAGAGGGAGATTACTTCCCGGTAAAAGTAGGTCTTAGACAGGGATGTGTAATGTCACCATGGTTGTTTAATATACAGTGGTACCTTGACCTACGAGTTTAATTTGTTCTGTGACCAAGCTTGTAACTCAATTTGCTCGTATATCAAATCAATTTCCTCACTGAAATTAACTGAACTGCCATTAATCCGTTCCAGCCCCCAAAAAACCACCCCAATTTTTTTTTTGTTATGGGTTTTTAAATAAGAAAAATGTATTTATAATTAAGAAATATTGTATGCTACACCCACCACCTTCTCTACTCCACCCACCACCCTCACTACTCCACCCACCACCCTCACTACTCCACCCACCACTATCACTACACCCACCTTCATGTTTCTGGAAAGACTCTGAGTGCTGAAATGGAGGTTACCTCTTCCCCGGATTTATACAAGAGCCAAAAAAGGGATGAGGTCCCTCACTACAATCTGGGATTAGTGTGAGAGTATTATCCTTCCAGTTATGTCTTGGAAGAGCATGTGGGATGGGATGAAATACCTGACATTACTCTGGGTACAGAGTTGGATTTGACTTCAGATATGCCGTCAATTAGTGGCGGCACATCTGGAGCTCACTCGTAACTCGGATTTTGGCTCACAACTCAAAGCAAAAAAATAGACCGAGCGAGAGCAATGGCTCATAACTCGGAAAATTCGTAAGTTGGGGCACTCATAAGTCAAGGTACCACTGTATTAATAGATGGGGTTGTAAAAGAAGTAAATGCTAGGGTGTTGGGGAGAGGGGTGGGATTAAATTATGGGGAATCAAATACAAATGGGAGTTGACACAGCTATTTTTTGCTGATGATGCTGTGCTTATGGGTGATTCTAAAGAAAAGTTGCAAAGGTTAGTGGGTGTGTAAAGGTAGAAAGTTGAAAGTGAACATAGATAAGAGTAAGGTAATGCCAGTAACAAATGATTTAGATAAAGAAAAATTGGATATCACACTGGAGAGAAGGAGTATGGAAGAAGTGAATGTTTTCAGATATTTGGGAGTTGGTGTGTCAGTGAATGGGTTTATGAAGGATGAGGTTAACCATAGAATTGATGAGGGAAAAAAGGTGAGTGGTGCATTGAGGTATATGTGGAGTGGAGACAAAAAAACGTTATCAATGGAGGCAAAGAAGGGAATGTATGAAAGTACAGTGGTACCAACATTCTTATATGGGTGTGAAGCTTGGGCTGTAAATGCTGCAGCAAGAAGGTGGTTGGAGGCAGTGGAGATGTCCTGTCTAGGGGCAATGTGTGGTGTAAATATTATGCAGAGAATTCGAAGTGTGGAAATTAGGAGGTGTGGAGTTAATAAAAGTATTAGTCAGAGGGCTGAAGAGGGGTTCTTGAGGTGGTTTGATCATTCAGAGAGAATGGATCAAGATAGAATGACATGGAGAGCATATAAATCTGTAGGGAAAAGAAGGCAGGGTAGGGGTCATCCTCGAAAAGGTTGGAGGGAGGGGGTAAAGGAGGTTTTGTGGGTGAGGGGCTTAGGCTTCCAGCAAGTGTGCATGAACGTGTTAGATAGGAGCGAATGGAGACGAATGGCTTTTGGGACCTGACGAGCTGTTGGAGTGTGAGAAGGGTAATATTTAGTGAAGGGATTCAGGGAAATCGGTTATTTTTATATAGCCGGACTTGAGTATTGGAAATAGGAAGTACAATACCTGCACTTCAAAGGAGGGGTTTGGGATATTGGCAGTTTGGAGGGGTATGTTATATATCTTTATATAAGCTTCTAAACTGTTTTATCTGGGCGCCTCTGCAAAGACAGTGATTATGTGTGAGTGAGGCGAAAGTGTTGAATGATGATGAAAATATTTTCTTTTTGGGGATTTTCTTTCTTTTTGGGTCACCCTGTCTCGGTGGGAGATGGCCAACTGAAAAAAAAAAAATAAATAAAATGATTTTAGTGTTTTCATTATGAAACTAATGATCTAGTGCATTTAGCCTCACAAACACTCTATTTTCTCTTATAATAAGAGCATGGGAAGATATACAGCAGGGCCCTGCTTTACAGCGTTTCGCTGTACGGCGTTCCGCTAATACGGACATTTCAAATTATGACCAAAACTCACAATACGGCTCCTCCACCTGACTTTATAATATGATCACCATGCCCCACCCGGTTTGTTTACATTCTCTGTGAGCTCCGCAAGTACCCTGTATCTCCATTATGTCTGGAAACTCCAAAATTTCAAGTGTTTTTAAAAGTTATTTCATATTTTATTTATACTCTGATAATTATACAGCGGTACCTCGGGATATGAACAGCTCAAAACTCGAACAGTTATGTAAGTGTATTTATGTAAGTGCTTTTGTAAGTGTAGTTCTGGTGTCTGAAATGGATTAATCTAATATACATTATTCCTTATGGGAACAAATTCGTTCAGTATCAGCACTCAAACAGCATTCTCAAACGAAATAAATTCGTATCCCGAGGTACCGCTGTACTTACGTATACCTGTACCTAAATAAACTTGCACACTGTGCTGGTGTGCGGGTACACATTAAAATCACTAAGAGTGTCTTATGTCTCGAGACGCCATATTAGTAATGATGTTGATAATAATAATAATAATAATTAATCTCATTAAATGTCGTAAAATGTGGCAGATGTTGCAAGTATATGGTGTAGGAGGTAGGTTACTGAAAGCAGTGAAGAGTTTTTACGAGGATAGTGAGGCTCAAGTTAGAGTATGTAGGAAAGAGGGAAATTTTTTCCCAGTAAAAGTAGGCCT